AAAGCAGAAGAGTGAATACATATATCAGAAGAACAGAAAGGGAAAATAACCATCGAGTGACGATAAGAATATGTATATTGGAAGATGACAACTATTGATATGAGATTAGATTAACTACTTCCTAACACATGTCATGCATTTGTTTTAAGTAACTTCGTCACAAGAGAAAATCTACTAAAAAGACTTCTCAGAAACCTCTTGAAATTGTCTAAAAACTTCGCCATAATTCATTTAATGATTTTGAGAATTACGGTGAATCCCAGACGAAATCTTACGCACATCCCATCTATTCCCTACTAAGATCTAGACAATAGGTAAGAAATGTACAAAATTTTGTATAGAGTTAAATTATTAATGGCATTTTGTTGTTGGGCTCCTGTTGACATCCTAGCACATCCTGGCAGATCGTACTACTATCCGGTATTTCACATTTCATTAGGCGTTTATAGCATTTTGATGGGATTCTACTTAAAAGTAAATCAAATCCTGGTTTCTCTAAGATTTTATAAAGAAATGTATAGGTTTCTTATTAGGGAAGGTTTTCGATTTAGAAATTGTATATTAAAATCTGAACAAATATCATAAGGTATTTGCAAAACTTCCACAGACTCACTGCGGTAGGACACTGGCAAACTCTCGTGTTTGTTTTAGTTTTATAAGCTCTATTGAATAATGTTTTTCAAAAACTTTGATTTTACTTTTAGGCTGGAAACTCTAACGAATAAGATACTTTTTGCTAGTGGATTATCAATAGTGCTCATTCCGAATATAAAAAGGTTTTACTCTCGAAAACCCGCTTCCGAAGACCTATCGATCCCTCCCATTATAATATTCAGAACCAGTACTATTGATAACCTATAGCCCACTGGTTTTCATTCAAAAAGCGATTAGACAGTTAGGACGGTTCCTTCGTTAGAAATAAAAAAATACAGTCACTTAAAAGCGTTTTGCTCCCGAAATTGATTTGTTACATTTTCTTCGTACAATAATATTTTAAATGTTAACGATACAGTGGAAAAAAAATTCTTTCCGATGCGTGTGTCAGACCATGATGTTTTGGATGTTGTACATTGGGTTATTTCAAATTCTTTCTGAAATAATCAAAATAGATAGACCATCCTAGAAACTTCAGATTTTATTAAAATTGACTTATGCATTGCACAACTCTGTCGGTTCCAAAATACAAGAGCAGTGGTTGTTTTCTGAATAACTCAGCATCAAATAAAGATAAAGACTTGCGGTTTCCATCACTCGATAGTTAAGACTTGAGACAATCTTTCTAAGAGCAAAAGCAATTTTCAGACAATTTTTCGAAGCTAAATTTCCAGAGGATCTTTGGAAAACGAGCTTGGATTTTCCGAAATTGAGATAGGAATCTATTGAGCATTTTGGGGCATATATAGTCCGAAGTGTTCTCTACAAAACTAGATCCAAGCGACATCTTGAAAAACCCTGGTCCGGGAGTTATGGACATTTTCCCTGAAGTCTCAGCACCCCTCTGCCGTCAGGTTTGGAACTTCCAGAAATGAATGAAAATCTATGTTATCGACTATGCTGAATCTCGTGGCAATGTTAGTTTTCAGAACAAAATGCAAGAACTGAGTGAAAACCTATACTAAGTGAAATAATGCTTTTTTGGTTACTTTCATCAAAAATTAAAAAATTCGTAACTCAGTCATACTCCATCCAACCTACTTTAGAATATCAGCAAATACTCTATTTTATCTGCAGTAAGCTGAATAAATCTTGAAAAAACCAACAGAAAATACTTCGGTTCCTTGCAAGGTGTCCCAGAAACCTTCGGAACTAAAAGAATACCTTTTATTGAATTTACATACAGAATTAGAATGAGCGTATAAAATAGAGTATTTGCTGATATTCTGAAGTAGGTTGGATGAATTCTGACTGAGTTATGAACCATGGGTTTTCAAGATGTCGCTTGAATCTAATTTTGTAGAGGACACTTCGGACTATATATGACCCCAATAAAATAAATAGATTTCTATATGAATTTTGGAAAATCCAAGCTCGTTTTCCAAAGATCCTCTGGAAATGTAGCTTTGAAAATTTTTCCAAAAATCGTTTTTGCTCGTAGAAAGTTCATCGCAACTCATGGCTATCTAGTGTTGAAAACCGCAAGTCTATATCTTTATTTGATGCTGAGTTATTCAAAAAATCACTACTGTTCTTGTATGTTGGAACCTATAGTAGTAGGCATGTACCAGTTTTTTTTAGCAATATTCGCAAAAAAGTTCGTATTTTCGTAGAAATGCGGTTCAAAGTTTTCCCAAAGGCGTATTCTTGTTCATGAGAGGTCGCTTTACAAATCGAGATGTCTGGATAGTTTCTAGCATGTTTAACTCCAAAGTTATAAGTAGTTTAATTTAAAAAACTGATAAAATAGTTGGTCAACACCCGTGTCTTAAACTAGTTATAAAGTAAGATTCAAAATAGGTGTGAAGTTTTTAAATGTCTTTTTTGTAGAGATACATCTGCCCAACAAATTTCATTTTTCAATATAATTTTAAAACTTTATCTCTCAAATATAACTATAAAAAACCGAAAATCCTGTTGTGGAAAAACTGGAAAAAATTGGTGCATGCCTAGATAGTAGTGTTCACAGAGAGCATATATATTGTAGATTATTATTTTAATCTGCATGTGCCATCGATTATTCGCTTAATTCAAAGAATTCATCATCATATGAATGGACGTAAACCGAGTCAAAATGAAATATATCTTATCTATCATTATCATGATTGTCTAATTAAACAAGAGCCACAATTTTTTGTCAAATATTATAAATTTATTTATAATGGTAAAATTGGTTTAAATCGCTATACATCATTGTTAGGTAATAAATTTATTATTTATTTTTTTGTTTTTATAATTATTTTTAAATATTCTTCTATTTTTAGTATTTGGAAGTATTTTACCATCAGTGGTTACAGTTGTATGCAATATTGTTTGTGTTAAACGTGTAATTAATATAAAAATAAAAACAACAAATTTATTTCATCGTACTCGTAATAATCGACGTCAAGATGAAGCACGTAGAATATTAATTATTATAACAATTGAATGTTTCTTAACAATATTAAACTCATGGTTTATCGATTTATTAGTTGGTTTTATTTATTGTAAACGAAATTTATTTATTGGTAATGATTGTCCATTATTTTTAAAAAAATATTATGATTTAACAACAATAATCGATTTTTTAAATTCAATAACAAATATTTTCATTCATTGTTTATGTACAAAATTATTTCGTCAAGAATTACTTCAAATGTTTACGTGTAATTCTCAAATGATACATATTAAACGTAGAGGAACAAGAAGCACAACAAACAAAATTTAACAAATATTCATGACCAGTTGTTTTCTATGCAAATCATCAAGCTTATTGAAATACAATTTAAGAAGGATAATCGCAAGCATATTGTTACAAATGACAGTAAAGAATCGATCGTAAAACTATCGTTTTGGTATACGACATAGGGTAGATATAAACTGTAACTGAATAATCATAAAAGCTACGCAAAGTAAAATATAGATGTTGCTCAGGCAATATTAGTGTGCAGGTGCAGGGTAGGGTAGAGTAGGATACAAACTGTATAGGGTAGGGTAGATTTTTTAAAGTAAGAAACATTTTTATAGGATAGGATATAAGTTGAGACGTTTGTCATAGACTGTACCCTACAAGATAAAGAACGCTTAAGACTGAGAGACATTCGCCTTTTTTTGTGGTGCATTAGTCATGCTGTCATCTATCCAATTCTCAGTTTGTTGTCTCGATCATTGTTGAGAGTCCCTGCAAGTTCGGCCACATCAGAAATACCAAATATTAGAACAAAGACAACAATCCTTGAATACTGACGTACTTGACGACATCTTGATATTACGAAATTTTCGGCAGCAATAAAATGTGTGTTTATCGTTTTTGATTAAAACTGTAGGTAGAAAAACGAACTTCTATCGCTGAATGAATGATCCCGTTTTACTCCTACTTTCTTATGTGTAGAATGCAAACTGTCTGAAGTCAATAGGGTAGGATGGGGTAGGGTACGCGAAATTTTTATAGGATAGGATACAGTGTACAAAAAACTCATACCGCACCTGTATTAGGCAATTCGTAGATCATACAATAAGCTTTCATTCCATTTAGATTTATTTTATGAGCGAGTTTTTCTATCATAAAAGTCATTGATAAACCGATTACACTTCTCACTTCCACTGGATACGAAATATCATCGTTTTAACTTGTATAAATGTTTTTTTTGTTATAATATATAAAGCACTAGATGTATCTTTCTAACAAGATAATTTTTGAATGAACGTTTTTCAAATTAAGCGAAAGCGTCTAATTTGGTAAGAAACAGTTTAATTATTAATCTATTTGGTGATTCAAAGCAGTGCCGCTTTCTGCTGCAATTTGAGTGAACAACGGTATAGCAATGATACATTATAACAGTCGGACCGTATCAGACACAATTGTGTAATAAACTAACACTTTACCATATAGAGATAACATAAAATGTGAGAATTAAGGGTTCTGGACTATGGAACGTAAACATAAATCTTTCAAAAAAATGAAAACGATAACTACATAAGAATATCAAAATTACATACAGACGTAAACTAGGAGATGAAGCAGAGCTGATGATTTTTGCTCCATGTGATCTGTCCTAGAAAAAGTTCCTTGACCCAGATCTGTCTTGTCCTATGAACTTTTCCCTAATTGTATTTATTTTTTCTTCTGTGGAATGTAAGTTATTCAGCTCTACTACCAACACCTGTATAAAATTTGTATCACTTAAACAATCGCATTGCATTTCATCCAAAGCTTTAGTTCTTCCCTCAACGAAAGGTCAGGACAGCAACATGAACCTGCGCACCCTCAACTTAAGCATTAACTTTTCTGATCATGTGATAATATTTATTGTACCATCAAAGGTAATTTAACATCGACTGATAAATTTCATTTTTTCTTGAAGGGTAACCTACACGGATACTGCCCGAAAGCAAGCACCATATATACATACAACTGCGAGTTGTTAGTTCTGTGTCAATATGAAGAAAAATAATGGACCTATCTCACGTGTCCTGCTTGTTGTCTACTAGAAGATTAATTCTAAGATCTTAGTAGGAAATAGATGAGCTTTAAGAAATAGATGACCTTTAAGAGGTTTCTGAGAAGCTTTTTCAGTATAGCGTAAAAAATAATGTGTTCTAAGATGTACCCTCAAAAAGTACATGCAATGGACGCATTGTGTTCCATACCTAAGGGCCTAAAAACGGGTAAAAAGACGGGATCCGAAAATTAAAAAAACGGCCCGTAATATTTCTCATTAGACGGGTTCGCATCCCATTTGCCGCGGGGTGACGGGACTGAACGATTCATAAATACGTATCCCGTATAACCACGCGTTCTCCATCGAAGAAATGCGGGGCCACGGAAAATGACCTTTTATGCCTTCGATGCGCCGTGTGGTTACCTGTTCTACTCTTAGGCGCCTTCAGATGTAAAATTAACTTTTGAGTATGTTCCACCCCACGCAGTCGTTTTCTTTTCGAAAAACGACTTAGTTGCATTTGTTTTTAACGCGGTCAAACGTATCGGTTTTGCACCATTTTTGTGATAGAAACGCGTTAAATTTTTAAGTTTGAAACAATTTTAAAATTAAATTCAGAATCGAGCTGACGTGTACAGAGAGTCTCCATGTTCTCACACGGCCATCCACGACTGCCTTAAAGTCAAGGTTCTTAAAGTTAAGGAAGAAAGAAACTAAAACAACTTACGCTGCTGTGACGACGGTTCGAACGTGGGTACCTAGAATTAAGAAGCAAGCATAAAACAGGTTGAGCCAAAGATGCTCGAAAAATGAACTGTATCATCAGTAAGTGTTTCGAGCATCGACAGCTTATTGAAAAAGACTTATTCTTTTCTGTTTGCTTGCTTCTTTAATTCTAGGTCCCGCGCAGCTGTTCTTTACTCTTGTCTACAGAGATCTTTCATTTTGCTTGGAGGAAAATAGCCTTAAAATCACTCTTTATTTTCAGAAATATTGACTGGGAGACTGTAATGAAAGTAATTTCTCAGTTTCGTTGCTCTTTTACCTATAGGTTCACTTGTAAAATCGAAGAACTTCTGCGAAACTTCGAACTCACTCGAATTTCGATTATTCGACGTTGTTCGAGCTCTGTATTGGTACACATTCATTTTTTCAAAATTTTCATCCAAGAGCTATTTATTATCCATATTTTGTATTAGAATGTTATTATTGAGAGTAACACCTTAGTCTAAATAAGTTTTTTGTGTGAATCACTGTGTCTTGGGTAAAACGACTTTGCTTTTACTGAAGCAACATTTGCATAGGAATCGAAAAGTTTCCCGGACTTCATCTTGCGACATTACCGACTATGGAACATACACAAAAGTTAATATTACATCTCAAGGAGTCTAAGAGTAGAACAGATGACCACACGACGCTTCGAAGCCATAAAAAATCATTTTTCATGGCCCCGTATTTCTTCGATGCCGAACGCGTTATACGGGGTCAGAACGCCCGTTCTTCAATTTTTTTAAGCTCTTGGGTAGTTAATGTATCTATGCGTCATATTTTCGACACAAAATGTATCCTATATACCGACACACTTTGTACATCATTACCACGAACACATTTTGTGTCGGAAATAGCGATACATATCAACATAGAACAAAATGTGTCCATTTCTTGTATAAAAAAATATGTTGTCTAAGGATGTATTATCTTTTACAGTGTAGATTTTCACTTGTAACGAAGTTACTTAAAACAAATGCATGACATGTCATAGAATCTTCTTTGTTCTGTATGATCTACATTTTTTCTTATCACTGTTAATGCCACTAACGTGACAGCCTATATATCATATGTCACATTTATCTTCAATAATGAAAGCTTTCTTCCGATCCTGTTTACTTTCTATTACATATTTTCTATTTTTGTGGTTGATAGTTTTCTAAAGTCCTACGTCTGGAGTCTGATTAGAAGACTCTGACAAGAAAAGGTCCCCAAGTGTGTAATCGTTTTTTTGCTTGAAATCTAGTAGACAATAGGTAACCGACTGCGCTAAATCCGAATCTGACATCGATTTGTGCTGCTAGGCCTCCACCGATCAGATTTCTGAAAAACTAGGTTTTCAGAAACTCTAAAAGATAATCAAAACCTTTCTTGATGAGGTATGATTGTAGACCGCAATGTCCGATTAAAATGAGATATCTTCAAGCTCTACACGACCTTTCTTTGCAAAGCTATAGAATTTACAAG